CGTCAGGCTCAGGCCTGAGGCCTCTCTACAGAGGCCCCCCCCCCCCAAAGCACACTGCGCCTTCCAAAATGTTCCAACTGACCTGAAAACCACGCAATCATCGTTCTCGACACCAAAACGTTCCACGAATACAGAGCTGGGAACTTTTTTTGAACCATAAATCCTTTCTTCTATCAAATGGCGAATGGCTATAATAATAAAGAATCAGGAACTAAAAGAAGATCGAAGATCAGGGACGCTGCCGTTTTCGCCAAGGAATCGAAGATAAGGCCGGACACGTCATGCGATTTTGCGATGACCGTTGGACCAGAGCGGTTACCGACTGGATCCCTCGGGACGTCAAACGAACACCTGGACGACCGCCGGGCCCGATGGTCAGACTTCTTCACGAAAGCTCTGAACGAAAGGAATGAAGGACATCGTGTCCCTCGAGCGAGGAGGGTCCACTGGACAACTCTTGCACGCGACAGGGACGAATGGAGACGTTGCTGGCGCCCGCTCGAGCAATTCGATGATCAACGGGACGACAGGTGATACAGGTGAATGAAGAATCAAGCCTTTGGTCTTCATTCGCGACAACCTAGTCAAATTTGGAATTCAGGATTATCATGTATCTTCCTACGGGAGTAAGACTACAAACCTTTTTCTTGATCAACAAAATGGGCGCCGCCCCAGGCCCCCCGCGTACAAAATGAACTGCTTGCCAGACACAGGCTCACCAGGGTCAAGCGAGGCGTTCGAGGAAAATTTGGAAATACGACCCCCCCCACCACCCTCCGCCGGAGGCCGAAGTCCATGAAACAACCCTCTTCAAAAGCCGAACTATGAGGTTGAAAAGTTGTTTAATTCTCCCCCAAAACTGCTCATAAAAAAGCCCTGCTACCCCACCGTCCACAAAAAAATTCGTTTAAGAAGTACAAAAGTGAAAAAGTCAAAGAATAATCATTATTGATGAGTCCTACCAAACGAGCAAACGAGAAACAGACCAAAAAACGACAAACTAGCCACTAAAAATGGCATACTATGACAACATCTGTTCTTTATTTATTTCCTCCACAAGACTTACCAAATTCTAGTACTACACAGATTGTGGTTCTCAATTTGCACGTAGCCCTTCAGTTGAAAGAAGCTTTTTAACCGCCTTCGCCTGGACTTTGGCGTTGACCGTGGAGCAGCTTATTTACTATTGAAATTTGAACAAATATTCAAATGATTATAACTTTCTTCAAATATGACGAATTTTCAATCTGAAAGCAGATTTGGAAGTTTTGTGAAGAGCTTTTTCTAATCAGTACTGAAATTACAAAAGTTATAAGAAATAACAAATTTAGGTCAATTAACGAGGAAAATTCGAGATGAGCACGAGTTTTTACACTTTCCGAAGCAACAACTTGCTTCATTTCGTCAAATTCGAAAAGTTAATATGGCAGACAAAACTAGAAGATTTTCTCTACCAAACCGTTGCTAAAGCAGCTTCTATACGTCCAGTATTCAAAAAATGGCCACGTTGAGGATTTTTGCAAAATTAACGAGGAAAATTTGTGATGAGTGCGAGTTTTTTTACTTCCTAAAGCCATAACTCCGTTCAAACTCATCCAATCCGAAAAGTAAATACGTCATCATAAACTAGAAGATTTGCTCTATCAAATGCTTACTAGAACTGCTCCAAACGTCCAGTATTAAAAAAACGGCTACGTTGAGGATTTTGCACGAGTACCGCCGAAAGGTACTTTTTCGCTACATTGGCACTATTTCAACGGCTGTATATCCTTTTAAGGGCGATTATGTACTAAAGTAAGAGCAGATTTGGAATCACTGCTTTTCTCTCTAAGAAAAGTGATTGATTAGCGTTTCTCAACTTTAAAGGTTACATGTTTATAAATTTAACCCTGAAGAGTCCGTTAACGCAATGTTGAATGGTGTACACCTCCCTGTAAATGCGCACGGACACTTTCAGAATTCTCTCGATTGTTCCTGAATTGAGGTTGTTTGTCCAAGGAGCCGTAGTTGAAGCGCGCGCAACAACTAGACCCTTTCTCGGATGCGCCGTGTACCTCACATCCCTTCAGATTCGGGGTCTTACTTGAAAGATGAAATATCTCTTGGAAAGCGTGCGAAATTCAGATTCTTTAACTTGTGTGGTGATAAAACACTGAAGTAACTAAGAATTACCGGACGCCTCAGAATCACGAAAATTTTGTGTGGGTGAAATATCATTTTCATTGGAAATCCTCTGGCCTGGCATCGACTCATCCTTGATATTTGTCTTCCGACGGTGATGATCCCACTGCATCAAAATGGCTCGATCTCTTCCACCCAGCGGGCCAATACGGACCCCCAGGGTCGGTCCTATCGTTGTTACTTTTTCAAAAATTTTTACGACCCCCCTCCCCCAAGGTGGACTTGGTACGACCCCCTTTTCCACACCTCGACCACCATATTCCTCTCTATAGTATTTAATTCTGGTACCACTCAACCCACCAAACTCCGCCCACTTTTTCCTCCAAAATTGCCGTCGAGCGGGGGGGGGGGTATATACGCGCTGAAACGGCAAATTTTCTCCCGCGCCGCTCCCCACTCATCACATGCAACTTCTTACAACCGAAGCAAGTACGACCCCCCCCTACAAACTCATCAAAATACGACCCCCCGTTGCTACTTGTAGCAACATAGGGTTGACCCTGCCCCAACCCCCTGCGACGTGTCCGAGGATTCCTCAACGCACGCTTGACCCTGGCTCATACGGAGCGCGGCTCGGGAGGTGCGTGGCAATGGCTTATTTTGTTCGCAATCACCGTCCCATCCGCATACATGCTCTGCAATGCGAGTGTCTGAGCCTTTCTCTCTTTTTCCCTCGGTCTTTGCGTTTTCATTCATTACTACAACCATTTCCTTAGCAAAATCATTATATCAATCAAATCATGCTCGCCACAGCAGCCCATCCGCCGTTCTCCCCAGCTAAAACCATTAGAGGTCATCCTGCCTTCGCAAAATGCTCTAGATAGGGCTTTATTCTAGGTTTTTCCATGATTTCTTGCTTTTCTTTCAGTTGTGGACTACATAACACTTACGGTTACATATTTGAAACTCATTCGAATTGAGGAAATGTTCAACCCAAATGAGTCTGTTTTTCTCAAAAATGTCTTGAATCAGTAGTGAGCTACATAAGTACTACATCGTACTTCGCGCTAGGTAACATGATTGAAGAGAAGTATAAAAATCGCTCACACGAGAATTTTCAATGTCATATCCAGAATCCGCTTTAACTCCTTCCACAGCCGTATCTCACCGTTGGTTTCGTCTGCCCTTTGCAAACACATCAATCGCGCTACCAGCCCATGCTGACGTTTTCTCCTCGCAAGTAAATGCTAAAAGGACTGGAAGTTCCTGGAATTTTAAACAGTCCAAACAGAAACTCTGGTTTGCTGATAAGAATCGTTTGGTGTTAGAAATGATTAGATATTAAATCGTAGACCCATGCTGTTCATGTCCACTTTCGTAACCGTAATTAAATGAAAGCTATGGTTTAGTGAGACCTTATAAGTAACAGAAAACCAAAAAAATTATCTACGCTATAAGTGTAAGGCACTGGTCACGATCACTTTGATGTGATCTTCCGCTTGAGAATGAATAAGAGCTGCGAAGAGGATCGTTAGTGAGAAAAAAACACTAGAGCCTCAGAAACTCCGAAAGCTGAGAACTTCATTTTCAAGTGTGGTCAACCGTGGTACAAGAGCACAGCGCGCGAAAGAGAAGAAAAAAGAAAGAAGATGTTTCGTACGAGCCAAGCGCAGAACACCTTGCCCATTACGCACGAGTGAAAATGCAAGTGGTAGCAAGCGACTTATGGAATGTCTCAGGGCCCGGTCGCCACTTTCGCAGTTTCGCGAAAGTATCGCAGCTCAACTCATGCGCTAAATACACCGCCCACCTCACTCACGGAGAGTCGTTTTTATGGTTCGGACAAAATGGCGAGCAAGTACCTTTAAGTTTTCCGTAATCAGAGGCAGATCAAAGAATATCTATAGAGAACGACAAATTGAAAAGCGCAGGCCGGAAGTTGGATAAAAATTAGGCATGTATCAGGAAATCTGAGCATATGCATATGCAATAAACCTCGAACCAAGTTTTCCGAGCAGTCCTCTATTTGCCAAGGGATTCTCATATCTGGCTTGTCGCTACCATAAAGTCGCATGGCATCACAATAACTGAGACGAGGAAATGGTGTGCATGGGTTTCAAATCAGCCTAAAAACTCAGATATTGACGTAACAGTGAATGAAAAAAATAAGTGCTTTCGTTAGATATCAGAATAGTATAAATTACTTAGTACGGCCGAGATTCGATCAGTATCAAACACTATTTGCATCGAAGTATTTACAAAATTTAGGTCTTTTTATAGAAGTTGACATCGTCTTGAACTCATTGAGCTGGTAGAGGTTCAAGTCATTATAGTCTAACGAATCGACGCTCTTGAGGCCGGTTCTTTCCCTTTCTTCCTCTCCATACATAAGGCTGTCCAATAAGTGATTTTGCTCTTCATTTGAATGAAGAAATTTTCTCAGGGAACTATGTTTATACTTTATTTTCTCGTTTTTTTTTGTATGTCATATACAATTGAAGGCGATCATTGCGTTCCACAGCACCCTATGCTCCACTTGTACGTTAGCTGTGATTAGGAACGGATTTCGGTCTTCGAAATAGGAGTTTCAGTAAAGAAAATAGGGAAAGTAGCCTATTAATGTATTATTTCCCTTAAAAAAAAATACCGATGATAACCTGTACTCAGTTGCGACCTCTCCCGGACATTCCGCTATTGGGTTCTCCAAAGGATCGTGTTTTTTTTTTGTGAGTTTGGTTTTTTCCTCAGAACATGACGGTTGGGACAGATGCAAACATGTGCCCAAATGGAGCCGAAAAAGCTTCGAATGTATAGTATCTCAAAAACTGCTCTTTGAAGGAAAAATACTAGTTTGGAAAAGAGGCAACGCCCAATCGGAGCCACCAAACCAGAGTAAAACAACGACTATGACACTTCTGAGTTTTTTTTTTCATATATTCAACTTTTATACATTCAAAAATTTTTTAAAGGCAAAGGTCGGGCTCAGGCACGCTAGAGAAGTAATTCCCGTGCCTGGAGGTTGTATGTGGGTAGCTGCACACATTGCAGCAACTTTCCACCTTGAAAAACGTCGTTAAGCCCCGGGGCCGTCGGTTTCAATCCGGGACCGCCCACCTCCGGAAGTGGTGCGTGGCTGGCATAACGTGTGAAACAGCTAGGTTGATTGCCGTATCAACCGATAGAACGACTGACATCTCCAGAAAACTTGTTTACGTGCCTCTTCCCCAAGACAGCCTCCTTCACTGCTAGTGGGAAAGAGGGTTTTGTTAACGGCCTTGTCGACGGTTTTTCTCAGTTTTTTCTCCACTGTCGTTCCACTTCGCATCTCTATACTCAGTTTCAATCGCCATAATACCCCCTTATTGAGCCCGACTTTTGCCTTTAAAGGATTGTTCTTGTCATAAAACCACATAGTACATCATTATAACGATGTTCTTCTCACTAAAAGTGAGTCTGACTAATGGTAAGTTGAGGGATCATTAATTTTTCGTCTGCTAAAGCTCCTATTTTGCAAGGTAGAAACATGGAGCTTCGAAGGAAAAATTTCTTACACGAAAAAAAAAACGATATTCCTTATCGTACAACCTAACACTTCCTTTCGGTAAACAGTTTTCAATAGTTTACACATATTCCTGTGCCAGACATTCTTCGTCCATTTCCCTATTAATCCATAGGATTCTAGCTGAGTATATTCTTTTCATCACGTTTTCGCGTATATTTTGCATTCCTACAGCGCTATGTGTACTTGGGCCCATGCTCCTTCTCTCGCGCACACTGAAGCTCATTACAGAAATTCTTCTCAACTCGCTCACTTTAACAATAATAATTATTTTCGCGTGGAAAAACATAGCATTGAATTTGTCATTAGGTCACTAGATGGAAAGGAATGTAGTCAAAACGCACTGGTTTATTTTAGCATTTGAGTTTGCCTCTAGCTCGTGATTCACTAACCAACTCCTCAGGCCATGCTGACGTCAACATCTGCTCGACTAATGACATAACTCCATCTTGATTTGTAAACGATAATTCGAGGTCTACCTAAAATTTGCAAATTTCCCAAGCAGAAAAATCAAAGCAAAAATGAAACACAAAAAAAGCGAGTTCAAAGGTAGCGATCATAATGACTCAGAGCAGTGCGGCTTTGATAATGTCATTAAGTTTCTTTGATCGGATTAAACCCCTCTGATGCAAGGGCTAGACTGCCTCTTGAAGCCTTTCCAAAAAGGATTTTGAATGTCATCTTAAACGACGTACCTCCCTTCAAAAAGCGAGAAAGTGTCGGGTGCAGACCAAACACCACAACTGACGACGGCCTCCAAGTAAATCTGGTTAGAAGTTGTTCATAGTGATAGCTGATTTCTGGTAAATGATAGTTGTAATTAGTGACAATCGATAGAATACAACTGCAACAGGCTAATCATTTCATTGGCAGAAAACATTAACATTTTGTGAAGGCCGTCGTCACTTGTGGTGCATGGTCTGCACCCGACACTTTCTCGCTTTTTGAAGGGGAGGTACTTCGATCATCGCTGCTCAAATACATATTGCGAATTAGCGGATGATAGAGACGTTTGTCAGTGAGAGTCAAACACAATGGTATCTTGTTATAGCTGATCGGCCTATTACCGACCCTATAACAGCTCGTCCGCTGCGGGTAATCACTACAAATGAATGAAGGAATTTGCCCTTCCCCCCCCCCCCCCCGCTCAATATGATGCGTTCACACTTGTCTTCGAAGACAAGTGTAATATTCGCTACCAGAATTTCAGTTGCCCTTGTGAACGAAGCTTCAACAGAAATAGTATATTTTCTGCACTACATCCTATTTCAAAAAAAAGCGAGTCGAGCCAGCCCCACTGGCTGCCACTCAACCATTGCCTGGAAGTGCGCCGCCCAGACCAAAGAGCTTCTGTGGACCACAGGACGTATCTCAAGGTTCATCAAAACGACAGTGCCTTGTCCGCGAATGGGTTGAATTTTGGGTGACAGCTGGATGGCATAGCAATGAGAAGAGCGAAAAAATGCATCAAAACTATGTCAAGCGCACAGCTAAAACCATCAAAATGAATCGTTGCCGTAAATTTGAATTAAGTGTTTACTACATTACAAGTATACCATGAAAAGCTGAGTTGGAATGAAATGGTGCCCCGGTAGCGTAACTGGTAGCGCACTTGCCCGGAAAGCGAGAGGTGCGGGTTCTAGTCCCGCCTGGGGCGAAAGTTTTGTTCACAACCCAGCATTCTTGTGAAACATTCGCAAGGCGAACTGCGGCCAAAAACAGCAGTTAACAAACAAAAAACAAGTTTACTCAGTTTATTTCTATGCGAATTATTCGTATAGCCGGTAGGGTATTTTCATGAATATGACGGGCATGCGCATACAGAGCTGACCCGGGGGCGGATCACAGAAGGTTCTTGAAGGCTTTCAAAGAGAGAAACCGATGCCGGCTATAATAATTAGAGACTGAGCTTGATAACGGATCTTCTAGGATTGATCCAAATAGTTGATTTTGTCGTGAACTTACCGATTATAAGAGGGAACTTGCAAATTTTTGGTAAGCGTCTCACCTGAGTGAATTCTGGTTGTCGATCGCCTTTCGAGCCCTCATCACGGTAACAACGAGCTATCTGTAACCTGTTTTTCAAAAATTTTATGGAAGAGCATACAAATTAGGTGTCGCAGAAGCTGTGCACAGTGAAACCTGCTACTACTTCATTTTTGCTGAATTAGTAATGGTAAAAACATGGTGAACAATAATGTTCACGAAAATCGATCCTGGGATTTGATGAAGACCATTTAGAAGCGCGATGGCGAGTTTGACTGTGAACTGCTGGCCGTTCACGTCGAAATCGCACCTGAGAAATTCAATTGAGTGGCCAAGACAGGTGAATGATCGCTTTCCAGCTTGTGGTCCGTGAAACCTTACCACAGCAAAATGTAGATGGATATCTGGCTTTTCTTGGGATGTATTATATTATAGTTATTGAAAAAGCCGAGTAATTTCTTTCGATGGGCAGGCTGAACCATGGCCGTTTTCACCCTTGGAGTTGGAACTCCTTTCCAGTGTGACGATGTTTATCGGCTTTCCATTCAGTTACACTTCGCTTTTAAGTCAGGATAGAATTAATGCGTTAATTGTCCATTAAATATATTGCCGATAAAAAGGCGAGACCCATAGGCCTATGACTACACGGGGTATAGAAATCCATCCTGAGCCATGATTAATGTGCGGTGAAACTCCAGTTCGGGGGGGGGCACTCCATTGCTATCTTATCCGTAGTACTAGAGAGCAGTTCTTTGGGCTATCGAACACTACGGATAAGATAATAAGTGAACGACTCATTTCGAGCGTACTTTTGATAAGGACCGGTGGATGTCCTACATTCCACACTAATCCCACACTTTTCTGCACAGGTGATCCACCCTGGAGCTCCTGCACCCTTAGCCCTTTGCGGAGGTGTCCTTTCTCCTGGTCCAGGACCGTTCCCTTGGGTCATGGCAGGCGGAAATGTGAAAACGTTTCAGGGTTTCTCACCCATTACACCAATATTTATCAGAAGTCTACTTTAAATGAGTCGATTACGTGTCGTGAGCCCTCTAATCCTTATCTTGAGTATTGGAGAAAAAAATGGAGTGCCCCCCCCCCCCGAACTGGAGTTTCACCCTTAGGACTAATGGCTTGCTGAGTTTTTTGTTCGGATTTACCCATCAGTCGATAGCTTGATGCATGCGTACTTTAACCGTGAAATTTTTCTATGTGACATCCTAGACATCTCCGAAATTTTAAGAATTTCTCTGGATCGCCGAGCTTTTGTGAATGACGTTTTCCTTCAAAGTCTAAGTGCGGTGAATATTTTTAATAGGAGAAGTGCGTCGATTGGTAAACTAAATGGCGAAATCGACGAATGTTTTCTTCAGACTCAACGCGCTTCATGTTCTCCTTGAGGGACGATGCTGCTCACGGTAAAAAGCGTTGAGCTGAGCCAGAGTCGTTCCACCACATGGAGCAAGTCGCACGACCACCACTTCACGGCGAAACATGAGCTGATTGCAGCATGCTAGAGTTCCAAACCCTTTCTGAGCTTCCACGTTGGCATGCTTTTTCGCCACAGGCGCTCCATTTGGCATCCATCTTGAACTCTGAATCCGTTGAGATTTCACCGTAATCGCTGCCTTCAACGGCAGACACACAGTAGCATGTCAAGCACACACCAAATAGATACATCACCGAAAATTACAAAAAGCAACTCAACTATGCGAAGATTGAAATTGCTCAGCTAATCAAATGCGAGAAAAGTTGCTTGCAATACGAATTTTCACTTCCCAGCTACCCTGTAAATAAAGGAGCACAACATACCTGAAAGTAGCGATCAATACCGCCAATCATGAGAAGCTGTTTGAATTGCTGTGGACTCTGCGGCAACGAATAACAGAGCCCTTGATTCGGTGCAGGCGCTGGTACAAGAAACTCTGCCGCTCCACCTGGAGTACGTCGAAATAGCGTGGAGTTTCCACCTGACCAGAATGCGTATTAAATAGGTGGCGCCCTTTTTGGGCGTCCAAAAATTAGTAGACATGTGCACGATCTCCGAGTTTTCTCTTAAACAAAAAATCAACTAACATCCACAAACTTAGCGTTTTCGATGAGGAAGCGTCGAATATTGTGCACAATATCTGAGCGCATTCGCAAAGCCCTGAACGTCAAAGAAGACAATTCAATGAAGAAAACTATAAAGTATTCTGAAAGTGAAATGCCACCTCATTTCTCGATAGCTCTGGAAAGGATAAACCAATTGCTTAGAATCCCTCAAAGTGATGCCTTTATAAATGCTGCGTTAAAATATACAAGACATAAAATTACGGTGTTACTTTCGCATGCATTTATTTTCATTTTTTTTCTTTTTTTTGAGAAGCACAGCATTTCAAAGTCATAAGAATACATTATTATTAGATCTCTTTCGCGTTCCTATAAGATGGGCGACTTGGCTGCAGACGGCAGTGTGACCAGGCGTAAGCGGCACGGGATCAACGCGGGTAAATGAAATGGAAGGAGTTTTACTTTTTACAAGGGCTCCATTTAAAGGAATCTTCCACGGACCATGGACCAGTGGGCGGGACCGGAAGTGGTTTTGCGACGAAATGCATGGTAGGTACGGATCCACGTTCATGGGAAGGTTTGAAGTGAATCCTGTTCACGTTCGTGCGTTCGACACGTGGATCCGTACCTACCATGCATTTCGTCACAAAAACTTCCGGTCCCGCCCACTGGTCCATGGTCCGTGGAAGATTCCTTTAAAACAAGTTATGCCATCACTTTGGTGGATGGAAATAAAAGCTTTGTGAAAGAAGAGCATGAGAATTCGTATGTGAAATAACAGAACCTCTGCATTTGATCAGTTCGCAGATCAATATGTCGATTAGATAACCGGGTCTTTTCACTAGCTTTTGCATCTGGCAGCATTGGCAAATGCGGCGACGCACAGTTCAACACCGTCAAGCTCGAGACATTAATCTGAAAGATTCTTCAGAAAATGTGCAGGATTACGTATTTCAAAAGATTTTGAGACAAAGTATAGCCATGATATGCTACCTCTATTTCACCTGTCTTCATTTTCAAGTTAGCATTCTCCCCTCGATTCACAACTGATCCTTCGACTTTAACAACAGACTCGTAAGGCAGATCTTTGACGATTTTGCTTAGCTCTGGTTTTGAATCTACTACAGCCTGGAAACCCGATTATTAATTCAGCATACTGTATTACAGCTAATACATTAACTGATTAATATTTGTAAATTACAGGTAGCTGACTTAGAAAAAAGAAACGGCTCGATTAATCTTCAAAAAAAAATGTCCTTGACTTTTTCAAACACACCTGCCACACTTCCGTAGAGTCCCTAGTAAACTAGAAAACGATCCAATCTTTTGTAGACAAGCCAACCCATCACGCACACTCGTGCCCCTTGAAAACGTTTGATAATGGAGTTGCATTACGTAGCTCAAAAATCAATGTACTATTGTTATTGCTGTTGTGGTATGTACTTGTGGCAGCAGCTGCTGCATTTTTGTGATTTTAATTTCCTCTGAAGCAATTGGAATACGAAAGAAAACGTAGAAAAAAGACCCTAAGCCTGCATATTTCGTGAACTTGAAAAACTGAAATATGAATTGTTTCAGCTCAAACTCATTTTCATCCATAAATCATATTATTTTGCCCACGATGGACGTCCTCTGCCAAAAATTTGACAATGTCGACACCGATTTCTCAGTTTATCTAACAAGGGAGGTCTTTCAGGACATGGAGCGCTTTTTCGAAATGGTTTTCTGCATGTTATAGGGGCTCATGTGTGGAACACAGAATCATGACCCATTTTTCCTGAACGCCTCCAGGAATGCCAAAATAGTGGTGAAGAAATGGTCGAGAGCTCGATCCCAGTGAAGATTATTTTTTTCCGATATAGTTTGGCGCCTCAAGATTTCGCCAAATAGCGCCGTCGTGGAGATTAGATGTCATTGTCGCGTTTTGCAAGCTATTTGGAGGCGTCAACATAAGTTGCAAAAATTCGTCATCACGGAGGATCGAACTTTAGACCATTTCTTCCCCGCTGTTTCGACATTGCGGGGGGGGGGGGGGGGGCGTTCAGGAAAAATGGACCATGGTTCTGTGTTCCTCACATGAGCCTCTACAGCCTCCAGGAAACCGTTTTGAAAAAACGCTCCATGTCCTGAAAGACCCCCTTGTAAGAATGGATTCATTAAAGGCAAGGGAATTCCGTGATTGGACAGGTATGTTATTCAGAGTTGAAAACGGTTGTAGTAATGATCTACGGTAATGCAAGAAAGCAGAAAAAATGCTATCTACTTTAAAATCACACACCCTGCCGATAAGATGGGGTGGTGTGGGCCTCGCCCCTGCGGCGGTGTCATTATTATCACCTCCTTACTGCACTCTACAGTACTCTACCGTATCAAAAGAAATGACTGACCAATGAGAGCCGTAGGGACGGACGCAAAGCCCTCATTGGTTTATCGATCTACGCGGTTCACCCGGTCTATGATAGTTTCTTTTATTTATTTATTTATTACGACGACAATTACCGGGGCGGAAGTGGTGTAGTGACAAGTGGCGCGCTTCACCACGCGAGCGGTCCGGGGATCAAATCCTGGGTCGTGAGTCGCCCGGGCCAACCAAGCCTTCCATCCCTCCGGGGTCGGTTAATTGGTACCAGACTTGTCTGGGAGGATAAAAACACTGACTTGTACATCGGCTGGCCCCCGCAAGTCATTGTATAGGCCACATCGCATTCAAAACGAATGTACAAATGGAAGTAGAATGCGTGCCGCATCCCAAAAAGGGATTGATCAACGGCAAATGCTTTATCCTTTTTATTTATTATTACCAACGACGTATCGCAAAACAGGTCCTTGTCCCCTATTTTTCAGCTAACCAAACCTAAATGTCAGGAACAACTGTTCCAGGTTGGGTAGAGAACTTTAGTAAAAAAAAATTCTTCATTTTGATACCTTCATCCTTTGCAGTCAGCTCTCCACAATTGTGTGTTCTAGTGGTGTACGCGTTGACAGAATATCGTCTCAAGGATGAGAACAGACGTTTTATCATTCCCTGAAAACTCATTAAGGCACAATTAATATTCGTACATGATCATATCGCGGGGATCTGAGGTCTCTTATCCATACTAGTAACATTTACAGCATATCAACAGTGGAATTATTAGCATTTATTCAGCAACGCCACAAAATAAACCCGAAAGCAACAGCATAGCAATGGTACTCGTAAACACCGAATCTCTCGAGGAGGCTATATCTGATTGCGCTAACGTACAATTTCTAGGAAAACAGTGATAGTGAAATAGTTTCAAATTGAGAACTATAAGATGAACAACATCGCGGATCACAGTAAAGATGATATTAATTCGGAATATTAAAATCGCTTGAAAATAATCGGCAATAATCGACTCTGTTGGCTATACGAAGAGCAAACAATTTACCTTTGAGGAAAATAATTTCAATTCATAACAACCACGTAAATCACAGTGTACTACCCTTGTTATGTAGTCAGATTGGCCATCACAGTCGTGCAAAATTTGTAGCCAGGAGACAAAATGGGCAGTAAGGAAAGGCAACAGCAATCACTTTGCTTATGCCACACGTCAATAAGCCTAATGTCGCGTAATGTGATGGGGTAGATCAAGTTTGGACGCAAAATATCCCAAATATTCTGACGAGTAGAAGAAAGTTCTCAATTACGGTTGCCACCTCCGCCAAAATGTGGAGCCAACCACAATCGTCGAAAAACTCAGACAAACAGCTCAAGATACACTGTGTGCAACAAACGTAGACGAGAGAGCATGGCGTGGATAGAGATGGCAGATGTTGTAACAGTGGGCGGTCGCCTAAGGTGTTTATAGCTGCTGGTTCTAAGCCCCCTCAACGCTTCCAAATTGCAAAAATGGCCCTATTTCTACAGCTGCAAACCTGTGATCCCTATTCGCGGGAAGGACTGGCTCAATGGGTTAATCGCGAAAGGTGATGTTAATCTGCAAATTGAAGCGGGGACTTTAAGCTGCACATTACAGTCACCTTTCGGTCAGTCAGAGTTCCTCAACAACAAACGAAATCCTTACGATTACCAGCATTCCAGTGTTACTGAGTAACACTTTTCACTGAGAATATTTGAGAAAGTAAATACTGACGAAAAAAAAACATTTTAATTTTAATGGCGCAGCAAATCAGAGGTGCAAAAAATTGCGAAGAAGTCGAACTTTTGGTCGCTCTCCGTCCTAACATGAAAGCACAGTAATTTCTGATTTAACAATTAGTGAACATAAAATATCAACTGTAGAGCCGGTAAAATAGAAAAAATGTTGCCGAAGAGAGTGACAGAAAAATAAAAATTGTGGACAATTGAATACTGTTATATTTTCTGATATGGTAAATCCAACCGGTCACTTACCACACGACTGTAGCAACCCACCTTGAATACAGTTTTGGACACGTTATTGCACATACGAGGCATTCTTGGGAAGAAAGTTTACTTGACCCTGTCCAACAAACTTATAGCTGAATCCAAGCGGTGGCGTTGTTAGAAGCTCAAACCCAAAGTATTCTACATCAGCTATTTCGAAATTCGTCAATGAAGGCGGATGAGAAAATAGCTCCATCGGTACGTCACCAGGAATCAGTGTAGATGAAGAGACAACTGCAAAAATGGGTTACAGTCGTCAGAAATGGTAGTTCAAACCAAACTAGAATCAAGAATTTTCCTTCCACATTTTTGGCATTAGTAAGAGCACGCGGGAAAATGAACCTTTTTTCAAGGGAGAGAGGGGGATAAAGAAGTTGTTGCGCTCGTGGCAAACATCAGCAAACTAAAAAGTAGAAGCAGTCCTTCTCCGTTACTCTTCATAATCTTGGAATTTCACTTTCATCTGCCATCGCCATAGAGGCCGGGCGGGGGGGGATCAAGGCCCTCCAATTGCTTCATTCCGAAGCTTCTAAATAGTCCTTCAAATTGGTTAACCGATGTATAGCTTACTAGAGACGTAGCTCCAACTATGAAAGACTTCTTCCGCCCAGCTTTTCAGACATATCGTCATGACCAACGATCCGTTGAAGACCTCGTTTAGCTGAACCGTGCACTGTGTTCGCAGAATTCTTCTGATGTCATCGGTGTAGGAGGCTATTGCGAAACTCTTTGAATTGAATGGTAGGTACTTTTCAATTTTCAGTTGGGACCACTCGTATTCAAATCGAGAAGTTTAACACCTTGGAGCCCACGCAGCCCATATGTGGGCTGCAGCCCTCTCGACCGCATAGGACCTTTCAGCTCGCATTTCGGAAACAATTATTAGGTTTTTCATTCATTTTCTTTTCCATTTTATCCGATAAGATTTCTTCTGCATTACACAACGGGTTCTTTTTGAATTTGCTAGACAAGATCCCTAAAAATCTCACCGAAGTCCCGCAAAACGTAAAACACGCGCGGTCTCCAAAGTGTAATACTCCGCTACTTGAAGTGCCGGAAAACATGATGCTTCATGACGTACATACCGCGCATGGGCGGGATTACAATATGCAACCGTTTTCAAAGAATATTTGCGCAGTCTTGGTGGGGGATTAAGGATTCGCCTCATATCTCCCCAACGCTCCTTCAACAAGCAGAAGGAACGCCTACAACCTCGATAGAGCTCTTGTGTCCAGGATAACCCCTTTGTCAGTTTCGATGCATGAGGTAGACTCAGTAAGTGCTTTCGCCACCGAGCAGAAAATAACAGCGTTAAAAGCGGAAAGCGGTTGAAGCTTGACATTACCTTAATAGCGGAATTCGTGATTCAAGAAGCAAAAAAAGCGCAAAGAAAAGCGAAAGCGAAAACGAAAAGAAAAAAGCAAAGTGAATTTTTCAAAAACTCACCTGGGGCCACATTACGATAACTGTCTTCCACTTTTGGCGCTTCGTGCTCCCAACATAATGGACCAAGTTCGTACTTAGCCTGAAAAAGTGAACTCATTGATGATTTTCGAATATCAAGCACAAAGGACCCTCGCCGCTCTGTATTTATCCCCTCCCATCTCTTTCCGTGCTGTTTTTGGAAGTGGGAGGGGGAGGGGAAGTGGGTGGAGCTAGAGTGTGTCGAAAGGCCTACGGTTAGAATTAGACGCAGCGTTGGTGAAGGGGGTTGCGGTCGGCGATGGCGTTGGTGGTGGGGAGTCGTACGGGAACCCCCTCTCCTCTTAAGGCTGATGGTGGTGACGGTAATCGCGTCAAGAATCTCTCACGAGAGGATCGTGAAAATTCGTGGAATGGTCACAGCGGACGGGTAACCTTGGGTAGGAGGATTGGCCTCACATCCCCAACACCCTTTCGGTCAGAAGCCCTGCGCCTTTATACAGTCCAAATGCGTCTTTAATAACTATTTGCTATGAAAATAATACTGAGTTGCTGACCTCGAGATTTTTATGAATGTGAGTCCTATAAATAGAGTTCATCCAATGTCGGAACACAACGCTTTCACCCACTTCTTCTGTACGAAGACAGCAACCCTGAATGATATACGAAATGTTTGTCATAATATCGGCATTCCACAATTAAACACTTGCAAAATCACAACTTTAGAAGTTTTCTATTCCTATTTATCAGGCAAGATATTGTTATTACTGCACAATACAGACACTTGCTGCGTCTGCACAATAAAAAGGAATCACCTGACATGGAGCCACTACCACCGGCACCAACGCTGCTGCTCTTGCTTTCTCAGCTCGTTGTTTCATTGTTTCAAGATACTCGCTGTTAAGTTCCTTAGCATGTTTGATCAGATCCTTAATAAATTCACGCTTTGCAATGTTTTGACAACAAAATAAAAAAGCTACGCTTGGCATTGGAGCAACTGGAGTTAGTCCTTCGTGAAACTCGTCCTATACGCCCCTCCTCCATCTCAAGGTGGAATGCGACTAGAAGAGGGGGAGACCTTATTGGGGCGTAAACAGGGATTTCTTCTGCTTCCTTTTTCTTTGTTCCAGATTCCACCAGGGTCAACCCTACGTTGTTACGAGTAACAACGGGGGGGGGGGGGGGGGGTCGTACTCAGTTGAGCTTGGGGGGTCGTACCCTCTCGGTGGCCGACAGTGGGATTCTTGGTAATATCGGATAATAGCCAGCACGTTACGTTTTCGTAAGATGACTGATACTAGAGCATCTATAAACCACGCTTCCCTCTAAATGAGCTTTCAAATGAATCAGCGAATTAGAAGGGCGCCCGAGGCGTGGCGCGCACCAAGGCAAGGGATGTAGTGCAAGCGCATGCTCGAAGCTTTCTAGCACATCCTAAGTTAAACATGAATTGGTCTTCCAAGAAGTTACGGGCAGTGAAACCTAAGAAAACCCGCGTTTTCGGGAAAATGGCTTGAAGAATACCCCTCAAAAAAAGTAACAACGGGACTAATTTTTGAACTGCTGATTTTCAGGAACGTTTTGGTGCTCGTAAGAAAGCTTGAATCCTGTAGTTTGTATACGTGTTCAGCTTCCCAAATGAATGACTTTGAAGGAAGTTATGATCGTTTAAAGGTCAAAAAGTCGCTTTGCACAGAAAAAAGTAACAACGTACTAAATTTTTTATTAATTAACTTTCGAAGAATTTTTACCCATGGTTGGAGAGAGAATAATTTGAATTTTCCAAATCAAATCACTTCGGCGCAGAAGCTCGAATATGAAGGAAGTTATAGCCTTAGAAAGAGGGGTGTAAAAATTGTGTTGCAATTGAAGAACGTGAAGGATTTCAGTATTTCAATTGGAGCGATAATTTCTGACTTCTCATAAGTTTTTATCAGGTAATATTGTCAATATTCCGGTCACTGGTTCAGTTTATTTCATCTCCTAGTTTGGTAACCCTTTGGAGTACACGGATATCTTTGAATGCATCTCATTTTTTCGTGTTTGGAAGCAGCGATGAATCTGTCGTGGATTTTGCTAAAGTTTCATCTTTGATGACTTACGTAGAAATAAATATTGATGGTAAACACTGTCTCTACACAAGTGTCACATACAAGGGGGGTCGTATCAAATCACCCATGAAGGGGGGGGGTCGTAAAAAATTTCCAAAGAGTAACAACGATAGGGTTGACCCTGCTCCCACCTGCCTCTTATTGACGTTGTCACGCACCTTTTATCCCAGGACCTGCCTTTAAGCCCGCAAAGGGCATTCCTTATGCCACACACTTGTCTATACTTTGTTTGAATCGCGAGATCTAGAACCCTTTCTCTATTAATTCACCTACTGTTATATTAAAGAATGTGAAGAATTTTTTCAGAAAACAAGCGAAATACGAATCAAATGAGATTTGAGCTTACTGAATATTCCTTATGTATTTTAGCCATTGAATTGATGAGTTCTTCAGCAGAATTTGATTCTTCACCGTTCTCGCTTTTACGTTCATCATCAAGCCGAGCTCGATGAATTAGTGCTTTAATCTGCAATCATAAACATAATCTAGTAGTTGATTAAAATCAGTATACATGAAATCCCCTTAAAACGACGAACCTTTTCCATAAATTCCTTCCGTGGAAGATTACTGGTGCCAGGTTTCGCTTTGAAAGTAAATACTTTCTTTGATAACTGCGGTAGGGGCAGTGAGTAGCCACCTTGTTTGCCAGTTTTGTAGAGATCACTGTCATGAAATCGTTCAAGATCTCATCTTCTGACTTCGAGGAAGCTTTATCAGATTTCGAGTTATCTTCAGATGCCTCTGTTTGGGACTTGACTTCAGCATGACTTTCGTTCTCCGAAGGTGGTCCTGTAACACTTACTCTTAGCTTGCTCTTTCTTCTGTGATTCAAATTCTAGGGAGAACGTGCACAATTGGAAATAATATTAACCGTCTAAGATAAACGACTCATCGACTTCGAATTCTATTCCCATTTTTGATGTCGAGGTCGTTTCTGAAGAGTTCACCTCGTTCAAATACTGCAAATCCTCGCGTATATTCTTCAAATTGGTCAGGAATTCAGGCAGCGTTTCCTAAATACAGTTTCAATGAATAGATAAAAGGATGTCTTCAACATATTAAGCCCCTCTATAGTCTGCGTCTTGAAGTCCGAAATTCTCACTAGTCCGTATAGAAGTTGCAGAGAGCTATACGAAGTTATTTCACTCTTTCAGGGCGTGACGAGCTTTTTGAAAACGGTCTTTTGCATGATATAGGGGCAGATGCGGGAACCACAGAACCATGTTCAATTTTTCCTGAACGGCCCTCTGAATACCAGAAAAGGAGGTCCCTAGTTCGATTCCTCGTGGTAACAAAATTTTTGCATTTCGAGTTGACGTGCCAAAATTCGCGCAAAATGGAGTTAGAACCAACCAGAACAATCAGAACTCCATTTTGCGCGAATTTTGGAACGTCAACTCGAAATGCAAAAATTTGTCACCAAGAGGAATCGAACTAGGGACCCCCTTTTCTGGTATTCAGAGGGCCGTTCAGGAAAAATTAAACATGGTTCTGTGGTCCCCGCATCTGCCCCTATATCATGCAAAAGACCGTTTTCAAAAAGCTTGTCACGCCCTGAAAGACCTTCCTGGTAGCGCAAAAATTTCATGCATTGATGTCAGCAGAGGACTGAAACTGTTACTCAACACTTTTGTTTATTTCTGAATCGAAATGGTCAAGAAAGTTCGGTATGGTGATATATTTGTCGAGGAGAGCTGTTGTGAAAATCCGTTAGGGGCACTTGTGGCATCTTATCCTTAGTTCTAGAGAGCACTCCTTTGGGCTCTGTCAGACTTACCAGGAGAGCATTCAACTTCCCATGGAACTTTAAACTGAGAGTCCTAAATATATCTATAGAGCTTCAAACGCTGATTACAAATATGAAAACTAAACCGGCAAAATGAACTTGCCAAGGAAGTTGTGAGCACTCCATGTTGGCTGAAGGTAAAACGTTACGTATTAAATGTGCTAGTCTCCGGGCTTTCAAAATCGCCGTGGAGCTGTGGTGATGCTCTCGAAATTAGCACACCAAAGGGGAGACAACTTAGACCTCCCGTGTGGAGAGCGGGGACCCTATCACTACTCCGTGGCGACTCTGAAAGGCTGAGCTTCAGCAGGATCCGTATGCAGCACTTATTCAACTTTGACTGCTCACAACTTCCTTGGCAGGTTCATTTTGCAGTTTTAGTTTTCATATTTGTAATCAGCGTTTGAAGCTCTATCGATATATCTGGGTCTCAATTCAAAGTTCCATGGGAAGTTGAATGCCTTTCCCTGGTTAGGATAAGATAATATTCCAATCATTTTGAGAGCACTTTCGGTAAGGACTGGTGCATGTTCTACATTCCACACTTCCTGCCTCACATCCTGTCCAATTTTCTATATCAAATCACCCACCCTGGAGCTCCTCCACCCTTATGTCGAGGCAAAGCCCTGCATTCCCCTGGTTCGGAACCCTTTTTTTAGACCATTGCAAGCCGAATAGTGGGAGCACTAAACGTAACTCCTGTTACATTACGAGTTACTTACCAGATACAGTAAATTGATCGAATTACCCGTAGCGCAGTGTCAAGGACAGCTCCCATTTTATCTTTAGTATTGGAGAAACAATGGAGTGCTCCTAACTAGATTCATCAAAAGCTGCTGAGCCACGTTATACTCATTGGTCGCATCTAATCGCGCGATTGTATCGCCGACTATAAATGCGACCTTAAAGGCATAACGCTAGAATACGTACCTTACGAAGCAACATTGGAGACACAGTATCACGATGGTCGAGTATTGTTAACAAATCATATTTATCTTCCCACTCTCTAACAGCTTCACGTTCAGCCTGTCTTTGTGCAGAACAGCAATGTACAATAGCAGGGTCGATTGGATGAGCTTCCGTATTAAATATGTAGCCACCAGCTGGAACAGAGTTTAACAGTTACTGTATATACCAGCCGACTACTCCGGCCAACGACAAGGTTCTTTCTTTGAACAACACTATATTGGCGCAGTTTTCATCATCCTTAAGGGTTTTACTAGCTCTTACTGGCATTCACCTGCTCAACTACGTTCCAAACCCAAGATCAACGGGTGAATGAAAAGTATGACAATTAAGACTTCATAACAAAATTAATAATTACCAGCCCTGCGAAACAATTCATCTCTGAAAAGTGTCCCAAACCAAAGCAGACAGTACCCACCCAATTAATGCCCCAGCCACCATGCTCTTCTCTTGTCTAATCCGAGAACATCAACAAATTACAATCTAAGGGTGTTGAAAAACATTTGTACCACATCAGCACTCACCATCCACAACGCACTCTCCATTCGGTGTGTCCACTATTCGTGCTTTTTGTCCATCATTATGAAGAAAATTGTTTTGGTCGAATATCAGGTAGAGATATTTGGTTGTCTCCGCTAAGAAAAACGACTCCATCCTAAAGATTGTTCACAGAGTAATATTTCATGAGCTTAATAAATCAAAAATAGCAGCGAAAACTGAAATTTGCTAGTCGCTCTCGCAAGATAGGGGGCATTGTAGTGGTAATGCATTTAAAATCGCGTAAATATCTCCCTTCTGTTGAAGATGGAACTCAGCCTTACGCAGGGGAGGCGAGACTCTTAGGTGCGTGAGCCATTTTCACCTTCTCCAGAGTTCTTGCCCCCACCTAGTCTCCCCAAAAGATGCCTCTGTATATTGCGATAGCGTTTTTTTTCATTTCCTAGCGGGAATTCGTTGTCGGTGTGCAAATGGGTGTTAATATTTAACACATTTTTTGAGGTAGACTTTTCAGAAGTGTTCAGGAACAATGGACGGAGCACGCCACCAACTGGATTCACAACTCTGGCCAAACCATCTAAGAGATCGAAAAAATGGATAGAGGCTAACTACGGGGAGAGTTCAAAAGGACGTGGTGGGTGGGCCTTACAGAGGTGGACGAAAACGAGAGTGAAATTTGTAAAAAGATTTTGAAGCAGCTCAATGGCTAGAAAAAGTGTATAGAGAATTCCCGAGAAAATCTGACTCCATCTCACCCATATATGGCTTGAGACCCATCGTTCACGATAAGAACGAAAAGACAAAAAATTGCATTTGTTTTGGTAAAAATTCGAAAAACCGAAGGACTGCTACGCGTTCAAATTCCCGCCGGACATCTGTCACAAATGCTGGCGGCGGGAACGCTTCCACTTGGTTCACGGAGTGCTGTCACTAGAAACTCTTTTTGACCTTTTGACTTATTGCACTAACATCTCACACTTCTACTGCATCTATTCTATCGATTCGATTTGTCCGTCCAACAAACGACCTTGACAAAACCGCGCTCTTAAACACAACATTCCCCAATGAGTAGTCTGATTACTTCGTGGCCGCCCGGCGCGCCCTTCTTTCCATGCCCCGCACTTCGGCCGCCGGCCGCGACATTACCGTGATGCCCATTAGTTTAGTTCTCGTGCAACTTGTCTATTTCGGGAACGAATTTTCATGTGCGTGAAAATTTAGTATTGCTCTAGTTTTGATCACAACATATCCATGTTGGAAAAGAATGCAAGATTTTTCCTGGGAGGACTCCCTCAAGGTACAATACCTATTCTTCCACTTACCTATCTTTCTATTGAGTGATCATTGACGTTATTGATTGTTGCATAACCGCAAGGAGTTTTTGCGCTGTGCTCAATAGCCTGAAATATCTCATAAGTTTTACCTATGAGGAAGAGTTTTAACGAGTCGTCTAAACCCATTAATAATCTTACATCAACGAGCTGTGCAGCAATTTCCAGAAACTGTGGGTCCTCCGTGGCTCTATAAAGATACATCAAGCTGTTGCTATTCAGGACGAAGAAGGTGGAACCGCTGTGCGTTTGTCAGACTGAAAAAGATGTTAACAGTTGTAGTATATTGAAAAATATACAGGTGTATCTAGAGGGAAACTTGAGCCTACCGTGAGCTCTGTATATTTATTAGAGACTTCTGGAGGAAAACCATATTTGCCGGATCACTGGGAATATGTGACAGCATTATTCGAAACAAAAAAGGGGGGGAAGCTCTTAACACATTCCCGCCCAATCATGGCCTAAGTTGGGACAGATTTTCGGCACTATTTACCCTTTACTGCCCCACTCCTCAAGAACTGAGCCGGATTTTGATCGAAATTCGTCCATGACTGTGGATTTTGCTAGAAACTTGCCTTCAGGGGTAATTTGACCCGTAGATCACGAATATAATACCGGTTTAGAGCGAAAACGCTTGGCGCCCGCGCCACAGGCGCCGGCGCTATCTTGCACGGGCGCTCGTAGCGCAGGCTACAGGTTCACTCGTAACAAACTGATGTGATAATCATATTCTACGGGTCAAAATACCTCTGAGGACAACTTTCCAGCGAATTTGGGGATCCGAGATGTTCTGGCGCCTTTTGGCGCCGGCGCTTCTGACGCGAGCGCCAGGCGTTCTAGCGGTAAACAAATGTGATATTCGTGTTCTACGGGTCGAATTACCCCCGAAGGCAAGTTTCTGGCCAAATTCACAGTCAATGACCAATTTCGATAAAAATCCGGCTCAGTTCTCGAGGAGTGGGGCAGTAAAGGGTAAATAGTGCGAAGATTTCATATGGAACGTTTTGAACAGCAGTTTTGTTTATTGTTCGTTTGCAAGTCTCGATTTTGAAACCGAAAAACAACGAAAATTCATCAGATCACCTCCGAGTCAAAACTGAAAAAAGCAACAATAAGTGGACCCCAAAAACGTACCAGCTCTGGCCGAATGCTTCCAAAAAATTGGAAAATCGGCAACGAAACAGCCCGCTTTAGTCATCGCTTACCACAATAAACCAGTCACCTTTGCGAACGTAGCGATTGATAGCGGACTTATACTCTGGAAGAGAATGATTGTGCAGAAGCAGCCTGCTGAATATGGTATATTTGTATGGGTGAGCCAAGAGAATTAATCATACATCAAATCTGCGCAGAAAACGGAATGCCATTCATACACCCGCAAGCAGAAGCCTCTATAAATCTAAAAAAGTGGCGAAGTCCCGGCAATGGAAGCTTAAGAATCGCCAGTGCACCGTGCGCGGCACGCGCAAGCTCTACATAAAAATGGCTTGCCAGCGACTAGCAAGTACGATATGAGCCGATTTCCAGGCTCTGACGGGTGACAATGATGTATCACACTGATTGTGAGAAGGAAGGCTTGATAAATCTATGTCATAATATGATTATGAGCATTTTTATATTGTCATTCTACACTGCGACCCCCCCCCTGACTATTTTATTCGCCCATGTCTGTGATTGCCAGCTTCCCATGCTTGCTCTTCAGAGTGGACAAGGTCCGCCTTTTTGAGAATCTTTGCAGAGAGTTACTCACTGGAAGTTATAGCTAAAAGCAGGTTGGAGCAAACCTCGCAAAATAAAGTGCAAGTGTTTCCATTGTTTTGGGGGGCGGGGGGGGAACGCAGCAACAGGCTCAAAAAAGCGCGAGGCGTGTTTTAAATCCCCAATTTTTACGTAAGTAAAGCCTAGGTTGCGGTGATACGACTTGACATGATGCCAGTGGCAGGGTAAAAAAATCGTAGAGAATCTTTCATGCAATAGATACCTTTGAAATTGTTCCATCAGGGCAGGACGTTGTAGAAGAAGAGCCCTTGACTAGATATTCGAAATACGAATCCACGCCGGCCCGATACCCGAATCAGTCGCAGTCCATTGTCCTAAAAATAAAAGGAACAGTGTCTTGCTATCGTGCACTCCACTACCTCCGAGCATTGTCGCCCGAGTATTCAACACACCATGAGCCGCTAAGAATCACCAATATCACGACTTAATAGTGTCATTATATAGCATATCATATGGACAGACTCATTCAAGCTCATCACAATAATGTATTGTTTTTACCCTGCTGTTATAATATACTGACAGCTAGTCTTTACAATATATCTAAGCGCGGGCGCACCGGTACAGATGGACATTCCCTAAAAGGTATACCCACAGTATCATAACACTCGCCTGCAGCAGTTGTGAGTAAACTTATTGGAACGGTGTTTGGGCGAACGGAATCAGTGTGGAACGCTTACGCCTATAGCGCCAGCACTGATGAGACTCCCCCATGACCCAGTGCAGAAATTAGCAAGCAAAAGAGGGTCCCATTCCTCGGTCGAGTACAAAGCCGTTTCTCTTGGTTTTTCTTCATCCGATATCATCTGACCACGTCTATCATGTTTTCTGATAGACGGCCTTTCCCTGTAAACTCACCTTTGACCTCATGCGACTTCCGCGCTTCTGAATATCTCCAGCACTAACATTTATGAGCGGTAAAAAGCGACCAGTAACGCGGCCTCTTTCACACTGACAGAAATATGGCTTACTGAAGATACAGAGCTCCTCTATCAGGAACCGTATGCAACACGCCCGAAATGTTCCTCATCCTCGTTAGGGTGCAGCATACGGCCTCAGAGCCTCGACTTTGATTTGATCTTACCTGTCTGAACATTGATGTGGTTGCCAACAAGGCCAAGAGATGATCGCGTCCTCCATAGAGACTCCAATGCTTTTAATGCCACTCGCTCAAATTGTGGGTCACCCGTGAGACGGGACAAAACGCCGAATTCTGAAATTTTTATAAATGAGAATCTATAACGAGTTTTCAAGCCTCGAGGAGTCCGGTTCAGTAACTTAGATCCACAAGGTAATTTTGCGCTTCCGGTGATGCTTCACATCTGTGATTGTGCTCTAATAGTCTAACCCACAGACCAAAGGGGAACCGTTCACACGACTTCCACATGGATTGTGCCTTCATTGGAAGCGGTCACCTTAGCTTACAGGTGGTAAGAGCCAGCGCACGTTGTTGACAAAAAAAGATAATGAGAGCCAAACGAGAGATTATCTAGTCAAGCTAAGCTGGTTTGGCCAAACATTAAGCGACTCAATATGACGCAACGATAAGAAATGGATATTCGATGGAGACGAGAACGTCTGACTCATAAACGCAGCCGCTAAGTCTTCCAACGAGCAAGAGCTCCGGAGCTTGAAGAGCTCCTTTCGGAGCCCTTTCAAGCACTAATAAGGCGTCGTATGCCCCCAGAACCACCCTTCGCCTGATAGGTCTTCTACCTAATAAACTGTACATCCTTCCCATTTATTCCCACGAGATTTATCGCGACCCTTTCCTTTCAGCGCCAACATCAAGCACGATGCGTATTAGTGACAGGGCTTCCTAGCCCTTGTTTGGGAAGGGGACGCTGGATCCTGTGACGGATTCTTGCAAGGGTATGTGGCGAAAATGGGCACAGGGCAAGGCATACCGCCGGAGAGACAAAAACAAACTCACCTACTTAGCAGACTTTTTCAGTAGGTAGGAAAAAATTCTTTTGTCTAAAACTAGGAAAGTAAACTAAACCTATATCAGATCTCACAATTTCAATTTAGCAGGACATCTATAAGATCATGTGAAAGACAAACTCAGAGATAACATATATGGAAGGCGGTTTTCTATTTCGTGAGTTCAAACAGCGAATCATTGCATCTTTACACAAAAACTCACGACAATAAAGTACAACACCCTGCTGTGCAGGTTAATGGAGTTTCACTCTTAGCGTACAACTGTTCCATAAGGCATTCCTGTTTCTGTAATTATTTGACGATAAGAAGCAACCAAAAACATAAGCTGGATAATGTAAAGGAAACAGTTATCCCAGGTCTTTCTGAGACCAATTTGCATGGCGAATCGAGAGAAATACACTTCCTGACAATAAAAACAACCTGTGTTAAACGCAGGTAATAGTCGAGCTGCCATTGCTTCCGCCAACCGCAGCAATGGACCAGAGCAGGGCCATCCGTCCTCTAATATCATACCTGAACTTTTGTAATAAACAAATCACAGCCCATTTTTCCGGAAGTACTTCACGAAAATAAACATGCCTTCGACGCGACCGCTGAGCATGTGAGCCGAGACCAGACCACCAACGATGCGAATATTTGTTTCAAAGACAGAAACATTAACATTAGCATCTGTTCTAACCTGAAGTGGTGTGCACATCGTCATAGCTTTGAGACACAAACCACGTTCCAATGACCCAAAATCGATTCCTCACTAAGGTTAATAGCTTTTCTTACGTTTTTCAACACAAGGTCAACTGCGCGCCGAAACTCAGTCGTATTACCCATGACAATGAGGGTATCCAGAGCGTCGACCAGGGAAAGAGAGAACGATCCCCATGTGTCATGCCCTAAACAGCAACTCTCCGAAATGTGAAAAAGTGAAACGAAAGCAAAAAGACATGAATACCTGTGCATGAAATTGGCTTGAGCTCGTCCAATGGAAATGCGTGATTCAAGTATCCATTGTATGCATGGTAAAACATGGCTCGAACTTTTTCTCGATATCTAAACATATAAAGCTGTCCTATATTCTTCTATTTTCCTCTACTCTGTTGGGCAGGAGAAAAGCAGGAGAAGAAAAAACACAATGCATTTTGTCAAATGTTTCCTGACTTTTATTTCAAGTTTTTTTTTTCAAAAGACATGATCAAAGCTCAGTCATATTTTTTGAAAAAGTTTATACACACACTTTTTTTCAAAACTTTACACAAAGTTATAGTAGTGCGGTGGAATCTCGTAAGCATTAAAGAAGGTATGAGATCGAAAAAGTGGACAAAGACTGGAGGACGGTGAGGGCGAAGTGCTAATGATGGGCGGGGCCTGCGCTAAAGTGGGCGGGGTTTTCCTGAAACTTATGTTCTGTTCTAGAGACAGCCCAAAATTGGGAAAAAGTAGACAGTGGCTAACGAAGAAGGGGAGGTCAAATGTTAATAGCGAAGGAGCGGGGCTAAAATTGAAATCTCCTGTTAGTAGAAAACCCAGAGACCGGGCAAGATTGGCAGAGGTTTGCTCCGCTGCTGAATTGGCCTCCCAGTTGACTTTGATATCGATACCATCTAAGATTCATTTCGTAAGAAACAAATAATTCTTAGAGGAAGGAGACCCGCAAATGTATACCAGACACACACATAGAAGCGATGCGGATACAGTGGTGTGTCGGACTGCTTTCACCTCTCGCAAGTTCATCAGGTCAACTGCTGAAGATTAAGGCAGTCTAATCAGAAGCACTGTCAAACTTTCAAATCTTCGAATCTTTGTAAACTGTAAGATTCAATTCGTCAAAGAGCATTGACTTATCGTGCTTATTGAAGCATCACATTTCTAATTGGTGTCGAGAAACATACGCGCTCGTGGTAGAAATTGATTGATTTTATTTCAAATCAAATTTCTGATTTATAACTGATTTGGTTTCTGACGAATACTGTTAGCGCACCTACGAGTGCATAGTAATAAATAAATAAATAAATAAATAAATAAATAAATAAATAATAAATAAATAAATAAATAAATAAATAAATAAATAAAAAATAAATAAAATAAGAATAAAATACGAGATGTTTCAGACTATAACAACGATCTCAACTTTGCTATTAACTCGTCTATTAATCTTAGAGACGAGCATGAAGTAAGGAGTAACAGCCACAATCCTTGATGCAGAAACATGTGAAGGAAGCTCAACTCAGCCGAATTCAATCACAGAGAAACGGCTGAAAGATTTTATGAAATCATGAAACAATGGAAACCGCTAAACCTGAACCATATAATGCAACGCAATTGGGGGTGCTCTTCATTAAGGGGAAGAATATTCTGATACAGACCACCAGCTGCCGGTAGCAGGGTCAATCGTCCGTTGTTCCAGCCCCAAAAATTCTCACTAGTCCCCTTTTCTAAGGCCTCGACAACAAGCCATTCACCCTTCCAAGAGTTTCCTCAATTTGTAGAAATCCCTTCCAACCCTCCACCACCACTAATGAATGGGCGAGGGGGGAGAGGGGATTGGACAGAGGAACCCCGATCAAAACCCTTACTGCAACACAACACAATGACACATCAACTTCTCCATTACACCTTCTAAAAACCTCAGATACGACCCTTCACCTTCACCACACTCGAAAATCAAAACCCCATCCCCTCCAGCCCAAATACTACCCCCACCCCCATGAGAATCGCGCAACGACCTCCTCTCTGTCCCTGCTGGATTGGAATGTTTACGATTTTCAGAGAAAAGCGTAAAATGAGCGAAATGATGTCGAATGTTTTGGGACTTTAATAGTGGTGGAAGTATAGGGTGTTGTGATGGGAGCCGTATGGGGGATTCTCTCAAAAGATGGTGGTGGTGGACAGTGATGTCGAGATCCTTCAGAAAGGAAGTGGATGTAAAAAAAAATCCTGGAATCCTTGAAACGGTGTCAGTATCTGAACTACAGGGCGATTACAGGCAGTAATTACGATAGGTTCTAAAAGGGTCAAGAGGGGACGCGAAGGTGCTCAATGTAGACCAGTGGCGAAAAAAGCAGAGAAATCCGTCAAGAAAACGCAAACGGGACTCCCTTTTGGACCGTTGATTTCACTCATGAACAGGTAACAGCTCAGAAAGCGGACGTATGAACGAGTTTACGCAACGCGTTTGGTGACCATGCCAATCCATGCTCCAGTCGAGTTGCTTCAGTTGTGCCGCTGCTGGCAACGCAGCTCGTCCAAATCACCAAGTAAACTAGTGGGCGGATCGCTTTTGGGCGGAGTGCTTTCGAAGTCCTGCTCAGCAACCAGCGCACCTTTCGTCGTGAAAGCGCCACACCTCGCTTCCTTGGCAGCCAAGTAACTGCTTCGTGTGGCGCATATACTTCCCCGATGTGCTCCCTACTTATCGTAACCGCTTCCTTTAACCCTCCCAGCCCACACCAATGGCCCTCGCTGTCTACTAGAAATGTGAGACGACAGCGCACTAGCACAGTGTTCTATGGCGACAGTATCTGATTTGTGGGGTTATAGGGAGGCGTCCTGCATATTCGAAGCAACCGTCTCCAGACGGCTGATCACCAGTGGCTCGGGCGTGGCAGCTTCCGGCTACGGCTAGGGGCCGGGTGCAGCAAGCTCCAACTCGAGGATGGGTCCCAAAAACTCCGCGTCTCTGGACACTTCTCCTATTCTTGACCATGAGTGTTGCGTCGATCAGAGTAGAACGCAGTTTTGGGGACCCATCCCC